CCTCGGCGGCGTAAATCCGGTCGAGGAGGTCTCTATCTTTCTCAAGCTCTTCACTGCCGATCTCTTGATTGATGGTCTATTGATGGAGGAGACAACAGAATTTCTAGTGGGGGATGGCCACCTGCTGCAACTTGGTAACCTTATTTGATTGACTCAATAATATTATAGACGTTGGTTGGTTAAATGGTTTGATTGGTTAGTAGTATCTGAAATCAAACCACCTAAATCAAACATGATAGACATTTAACCAAACCAAATTATCCAAATACTATCAATTAAAACAGTTACCATAATAACCACTCTGTTTGAACACTCCTATTATTATATCAAGAGGAAGATCATTTGACAATAAGGGGAGAGAGAGAGAACGAGAATGAGAATATGGATACGAAGAGGATGGTTAAGAGCACAGTGATGTTATTGATGCAGAGTTGGAGTATCTCATTCGTCCCCTGGTGCTGGCATCCGACAATGATTCGTCTTGGAGAAGGTGAAGCGGTCATTGAGCTCCGACCTTGGTTGGCTAGTGACGAGAGAATAGTCCGAGCTTAGAGAGGTCATCAAAGATGATGATTGGTGGGACCCAATACAATGGCCAACAGTTTAAACTTTATAAGCTGTACAGGCTCTTTCATCGATTTTTCTTTGACACATCTAAATATTTGGGGCTAATCATCATATGTAATATCTAATGGAGTCCATTTTCAACTCATTTCTCGTTTGATGAATGTATAATTCATTGGACATTTGATGCTAGTGAATTGCACAATAGAGGGCAAATTGATCCCCAATTGAAAAAACTCATCATTGAATTCTTAGCGATAGATCTTGTCACTCATAGAAATAAACTGAAAGATAATATTGTAGATCCTTATGCATGAAAGAATATATTTTATACAACTTTGTTCGATGCTAATAAAATCTTCTTGATTGAGTGAGAGATCGATTTTAATCCATTGAGTCAAAAATATAAATGTATGCATATGGGGTTTTCCTATCACTTATATTATCAACTGAGCACAAGCTTGTTTACACCAAACAAAGACAACTTGATTCGAAAAGTATGCACACATAATTTTCTATGGCCATCAACAATATTTTTACACAATGGAATTTTCATTTATCATAGTGGCACATGACATTAATATATCAGCATATATATATGAGTAACTCCATAATATAGGAATAGCTTGTCACATATATACGTGATTGTGTTCATTTCCACCTTAACAAGTCTATATTTTCATTCATATTATTATCTCTCGCTAATGTAGTAAGCACATAAAGAACTTGTTATTTTTCTAACATATCATAATATAAGTATTTTAGTCCACATAGTTCTAAGTAGTATAGACAAAATATTACATTGTTGGTGTTTTTAGAAAACGAAAGAGAGTTATTGAACGAAAAAACAAAGAAAGAGGGTTGCTCTTTGATGTCTCATTCTTCAATGTGCAAAGAACTTGATATGAAAAATAAATAATAGTTTGATTTTTTAAACATTTAAATTTTTGATTCACTTTATTTTTTATTATGATTTTTTTCAAACATTTATAATTGACGACTATAAAACATATTACAAAATAATAATAAATAAATAATATTTTTTAGTTTTAAATGATTTTTTTAATTTTGTAAAAAATAACTATGTAGGGTTTATGCATAAAAATATAATTTATATAGAAATTAGAGACAATGTTTTAAAATTTAGTTGAATTTCAAATGATAAACTAAAGACAATGGTCAAAGGAAAATCGTTGGGCTTACTAAATTCTATTTGGTAAAAAGTTACTCTATACCCGCCATAACCTAAGTTAAAGAACTCCGTCAAGATTTTTACATATTTATGAAAGTACTATGTCCCCAGTAAATAAAATAGAACCACATTCTTGCCTTGAAATTATACGTAGGAGGTGGAAATGATGGTTTTGAATCAGCAAATAAATAACTTAGTTAGCTTCCAGTGAAGTGTCTCAAGTTAATTCCATGTCTAATTGTGTGAACACACTGAAAGTGTCAAACTGTCAATTAGCCTAGCACCCAAGGCATTAGTATTCCCACCATCTAATAACTCCTGATCCTTTTCTCGCAGCAGACCATTTTAACTTAGACGTGGTTGACAAGAAAAGGGGAAAACCAATTTGTGGACTTCTTGACATCAGGATTCGGTTGGCGGATGAGTGGCCGGTCGACGAATCCTCCGTCTTTCCTTTTCCCTTGTTGGCTGCTAGTGGTGCGTACTCCAGGGCTCCACTTCCCTTGGCCGTTTCGTTTGTGGTCGTGGTTTCTTTGTTTGTTAGTAAATTTTATACATGCAAGGAAGTGAAGTGATAGGATGCTTGTTCTCTTTTTGTTGTCTGAACTTTGTGCTATAAAGACCTTGGGGTATATTAAATGTGTTTGCTATAATGACTGCATTTGAGAACAAACTACCGAAAGTAGCAAAGCTTTTTTCCTTCGTCTTCCTAATTCTTATGGTGGTGGTTTCAAGTTTCAACTGCTGTTAGGTATAACAAGAGCATAATATATACATATTGTTTTTTTAATAATATTATTGATTTGCCTAGACCCTAGATGTCCAATATGTATATAATTAAGTCGTTGGGATACAAGAATATACAAACTATCATAATTACACCTATTTTAGTTAAAATAGTGTATCTGACACGAACTGCCTATTAAACCGATGAATTATTTTATTTCAATGAATTTGATGAATATTAAACGACATAATATATTTGATGTAACCGTATAAAGACGAATATAAATTATTTCCATACGAGTCCACCGAAAATTTCGTTAATTAATTTACTATAAGTATGATAATTTAAAATTTATAACATGGAAATACTCTCTTTTGACCTAGTTAATTAATGTATGGACCACTTAAAAGTTACTATATGTTCCACTTTAAAGTTTCTTGTCTCGCACTTTTTTCACTTTGGACATATATATTTGTCTCAATATTCCCTTACAGAATATATATTTTCATCATAACTCTTCAATTTTTGCCCATTCTTGTCAATCTCATTTTTCAACCATGCAAAATTTTCACTCAAACTCTTAAATTATGTGAAAATAAGTAATGTGTGTGAATGTAAGTAAATATGCATTAATATTATTTTTAGAATTGCAGAAAAAATTAACTTTGGGAACATTTCTATCGCTTATTGCCAACTTCATTGAGCTCCTAATATATCATAGTAGCTTTACTTATATTTCTCCTAGTTCTATGACATATATGATTGTATTTTTTAAATAATCTATTTCATATGAACCCTCCACTGCTTGATAAATACAAGCATTCACACGATCATAAAAAAAAAAATCTTTGGGACATTTCTATCGCTTATTTTGAACCTCTTTGAGCTTGTAACATGTCAGAGTAGCTCTCTTCTACTTCTCATCGTTTTTTATTTATTTATATGATTGTATTTTGGTGTTAATCCATTTTTTATGGACCCTCCACTTTTGGATGAACACAAGCAATCACACTCGTGGGACCAGATCAGGTCAGTATCCTTGCTATCAGTAACTATCAGTAATCCAATCATGTGTCCCCACGTGTCAGCTTTTTCTTTTTATTTAAATTAAACACGGAGGGGCACTAAGGTAAAATTGCACCCCCTATTTAATGATGTTTCTGACGCGCTGACGCTGACCAGATCACATCAGCGCCTTCTCTCTCCTCAAACAACCTTTAATTTTCCTTCTCTTAATCTTTAACATACGACTTCTCACTCGTTTTAAGTCGGAATTTAATTTTTTTTGCACAGTTAGATCAGATTAATTGTGCTCTTCAAAATGATATCCACTTTGATATTTTTCAGACATAAAAAAATTTGTCAGTTATTACCAGTCTATACCATATGGTAATGACTGGTATTGACCATACCATATGGTATGAAAAAATTTGTCACATCAATATATATTACGTTACCACCCAATACCATATGGTATAGTGTGGTAATATCAATATATATTTCGTTACCACCCAATACCATATGGTATAGTGTGGTAATATCAATATATATTTCGTTACCACCCAATACCATATGGTAATGTATGGTATTGTGTGGTAATATCAATATATATTTCGTTACCACCGAATACCATATGGTATAGAGTTATAATATCAATATATATTATCTAAAAGAAAAAAAACAGAAGGAGGTAGAGAAAAATCGTCTTGTGTCGCCTGTCATTTCCTGTTCCGCAATCAAGAACACCAAAATGCCGAAAAAATGAGAAAGATCGAAATTGAGGCCAACGAGATGATGAAGAGAAGAAATGCAATGAAAAAGAGTGGCTCCAATTTTTATTCGTCATGTAAAAAAAATAAAGAAGAAGAGAAAGGAGCAGATTTAGATCTAGAAATGAGATTGAGAGAGAAAAAGGAAGAGAGAAAGAGAGAAGATCTGGAAAAGAGATTGGGAGAGAAAAAGGAAGAGAGAAGGAAGATAGAAAGTTGCAGAGAAGTGATTTCTCTTTCCTTCTTTAAAAATGCAGCCATTAAATACGAAATAAAATAAAATAAAAAATTTAATGTATAAACGGACAAAAATACCCTTCCCTACTCAGCGTCCGGTCCCACCACACGATTGCATGCCTCTTAGATCTATGGTCCCTATTCATTACTGACATGTCAGTAACCAAGTGGTTACTGACCCTATCTGCTGCCCCTAATCACACATTCATAAAAATAAAAAATAAAAAAAACTTGACGAAACAAATGAATTTTTTTTTCCATCCCTAGCACAAGAAACCTTCTCCAATCTTTAATATATTGATATGCTGCAATTCATGCACGAGGACTATTTAGAAAAATTCTTGACTATTTAAATCCATGTTGCCAATACAATCTTTCCACTCAACTCCATTACCAATTTCAACAATTCAAGCCCCAAAATTTACCCCTTCTTCTCTCCCAAAGTGCCAACCAGACTAAATCAGCCATGGCGCTCCATAACAAAGAAGAAGAAGAAGAACCCCACGTCCTAATGGTAGCATTCTCAGCGCAAGGACACCTCAACCCAATGCTCCGACTCGGCAAACGCCTAATCTCCCACGGCCTCCACGTCACCATCGCCACCACCCACCTTCAACCCGGCCGCCGCCTCTTCAAACCCTCCTCCTCCTCCTCCGCCACGGGCCACGACATCGACTTCCTCTTCTACTCCGACGGCCTCGACGGCCGCAAGGTCGACATCGACACCTTCATGGACTCCTTGTCCCAACACGGTCCCACCAACCTCACCAAACTAATCCACCAAAATTACCATACCGCCCCCTCTGACGCTAACAACAGCACCGGAACCCGCAAAACGCGGCGGCGGCGGCGGCTTTGCTGCATAGTCAGCAACCCTTTCGTCCCCTGGGCAGCCAACGTGGCACACGACCTCGGCATCCCCTGCGCCATGCTCTGGATCCAGCCTGTCGCCCTCTACGCCGTCTACTACCGTTACTACCGCAACCTGAACCCGTTTCCTACCTTAACGGACCCCGACCTGACCGTCAACCTGCCCGGGCTGCCCCCGCTGCGGACCGAGGACCTCCCGTCCTTCGTCCTGCCCACCAACACCTTCGGCGCGTTCTCCAAGCTGTTCTCCGAAATGTTCGGAGCCATGGAGAAGCACGCGTCGTGGGTTTTGGCGAATTCGTTCCACGCGCTGGAGGCGGATGTCATCATCAACTCGTCGAAAGATCTCTTCCCGGTCGTCCCCGTGGGCCCACTCGTGGACCCCTCGCTTCTGGGGAAGGGAGAAGAGGAGGAAGCGGACGGGGCGGTCAACCTGTGGGAGGTTGACCACTCCTGCATGGAATGGCTTGATGAACAAGCAGCCGGGAGCGTGGTGTACGTGTCATTCGGGAGTCTGGCCACGTTATCGGCCGACCAGTCCGCCAGCCTGGAGAGGGCTCTGAAGGAAGGGAGGTGGCCGTTCGTTTGGGTGGTGAAGGGGACGGAGGCCGGGGAGCTGTCCACGTCGAGCGGAGGAGGACAAGGGATTGTGGTGGCGTGGGCCCCACAGACGAAGGTGCTGGCCCACCGGGCGGTGGGATGTTTCGTGACGCACGGCGGGTGGAACTCCACGCTGGAGGCGGTGGCGGCGGGGGTGCCGATGGTGGTGTATCCTCAATGGTCGGACCAGCCGACCAACGCGAAGCTTGTGGAGGATGTTTTTGGGGTGGGAGTGAGGGTTAGGGAAAATGGAGACGTGAAGATGGTAGTTGGGAGTGAGGAGATGGGGAGGGCTATACGGGAGGTTATGGATGGGCCGAAGTCGGAGCAGATTAAGGGTAACGCGAGGAGGTTGAAGATAGCGGCGGGGGAAGCCGTGGCCGCCGGCGGAGAGGGGACGTCGAAGGTGAGTGTGAGGAAGTTTGTGGACGAGATTGTTGGGAGGTCGTGTTCTTCCAGTGGGCCATGTTGTGGTGAAGGGATTAGCTAAAAGAAGTGACGACTGGCGAGCATTATTTGGCAAATAAACAGTGTACGTAATGTGTATTTGTATGTGCATAATAATGTGTATAAGAAAAATATACATCTCAGAACATAGTAATTAGTCGGTGTTAAAGTTTTATTCTTCATTACATATAGAGTTGGAGTGCATGGTTGATATTATGGTATAAACTAATTATTCTGACCGTTTTGATTGATGGATTGTCCAAACATAATGAATTATCAGTTAAAAATTAGTCTAAACATCGAAAATCAGCTGTTAATGCATCATGTATGACTTTCATTCACAAATCTTGGACATAAAATTTCGAATACAGACTTTATAAACCACCACAAGAAAAATGACTTCAAAGCCATCTACGAGGACATGAGTGAAGATTAGATAAATGAAATATCACGAGTGTATATGATCGTTTTAGAAATTTAAAACATAAATATTTTATAGAGGTAGCCCAAAATACTATAAAGAGTTGAATGTCTTAAAGTAGCGGGAATGGATCAGGTCAGTAACTTTATGGTGAGTAACCATGAGTAACTCGTCCACATCAGCATGACATCAGCATCCTCTCTCTCATGGAAAGCCTTTAATTTTTCCCTCTTTAATCTTTGACGGACGATTTCTCGCTCATTTTAAGTCGAAATTTAATTTTTTTTGCACAGTTAGATCATATTAATTGTGCTCTTCAAAATGATATCCACTTTAATATATTTTTCAAACAAAAAAAATTGAGCCATTTTTTTCCAGCCTATACCATATGGTATTGACTGGTATTGAAATAAAAGCATACCTATGTTTTGAAAAACGTACCATGGTGGTATGAACAAACCAATACTGTAGGATGGTTGAATACATGATAGTAGAAGTATATTAATTGTAATTTACGACTTTTAACATTGTATACCACACAATACCACCCCGTACCAGGGTGGTATTGTATGGTATTTTTTGGTCCTGTAATTTGTTCACCCATAAATTTGTAGATCCAATAGATCATGATGAACTCGTCTCTTCTGTGCAAACATTTTCAAAAACGAATTAAAAACGAAGAAGATACCATACAATACCACCCCGTACCAGGGTGGTATTGTATGGTATTGTGTGGTATTTTTTGGTCCTGTAATTTGTTCACCCAGAAATTTGTAGATCTAGTAGATCATGATGAACTCGTCCCTTCTGTGCAAACGTTTTCAAAAACGAATTAAAAACAAAGAAGATACCATATGGTATGCAGTTGGTATCGAGATGCCAGAATTTTTTTTTTCTCAAAAAATATTGAAAATTGATCTCATTTTGTAGAGCACGGTGAACTCTTTCCATTTGTGCAAAAAAAATTAAAATCCGAGTTAAAACGAAAAAGATATGAGTCAATTAAGAAAGTTAGTAAAAATAAAAATGGTCTTTAATTCTCCACCCTTAGATCTGGATTTTCAAAATGAAGGGTCCAGATTTGGTTATTGATGGGTGCATAACCCATGGTTATGCACCCTATCTTGAGCCTAAAGTAGCTGCATATTTCTAACACCAAAGACGGCAAGACAATAATATATATTGTGTGCTTGGTTAGGAAATTAGTCTGCATTAAATTGAATTATCATAAATTTATAAAATAACACGTGAAAATCTTAATACTTTAAAAAAATCTCAATATTTTTAAATAATTGTTTTACAAATAATATCGATTTTATGCTTGGGCTATGCCCAGAGAATATGGTCTAAGCTAGTTCATATACACTTCAGTCAGAGTAGGCAAAACATAGTAATGCTTCCTTGGTAACTATTATAATTTATAATATTTTCTTGATAAGATATTGGAAGAATTCATTATTATTAAAAAGTGATGATTAACTTGACAATTGGCTTTAATGACACTTTATTTAGGATAACACCTTTGCCAGCACTCTTCTCATTAGGCACGAGTAGCAATCCATAGAAGAGGAGGAGAAGCCGTGTTGGAGCTAGACACGGAAGGATTCATCATCGATGCTTGTGTCAATGGTGATTTCATTCCACTCTCCTTTATATTGATTGTCGATGTGGTAGGTATATGAATTATATAATAACTGTGTATTACTTTCTATGAGTTAATAAGAAGCTTATCTCGTTCTATGTTATGATCATCGATGCTTGCTGCTTTGGATGTTTTATTGTATTTGCGATACTCTCATCCTCATTTTGTGTATGATCATCGATCCTTTATTTCATATGATGTTTTAATACTCTATGTGTGTGACCCTAACATGATGTTACTATAGTCATTGTTTATACTACTATTATGGGGAACAAGGAAACTAATCTCGTGTAGTAAGCATCCTTCTTAGGCACGTATAGGAGGATTAGTTACCCTTCTATGCATGGCTAAGGAAGATGCTTGATTCTTAGATCATCAATGTTATAGACTAAATTTAAGTTTCGTATAAGCCCACAATTTACGATATGATATTCTAACTTCTTTATTCTTCATTGATTAGGTGATGACATGAAGCGTAAGCATGCTTGAGCTAGTCAAATCTCTATCGCAAGAGGCGCATGCACAGATAGAGAGTGGCATTAGAGGAAGGGATAGGGCATCATTGTAGAAGATGGATAGATGAATCTTATTTAGAAGATCGTATGGATGATGATCTAGGAGATACCTCAACATTACTTGATTGCATCCTTGTTTGTTTATTTTCTTGCATTAGTAGTGTAGCACACTAGTAGATGGCACCTCAACCCATTTAGGTTTACTTTCTTGCATTGCATGCCTCGAATACATTAGGTTATGTTTGAGTAGTTGCTATGAAAATACCATGGGGAATATGACCCTAGACACCTCTAGGAATTTTTCACTTGAATACAACATCAAGTTTTTGGCCATCCCCCATAAATGCATACTCTAGGTGACCGTGGGGGACTTAAGCTCCAGCTTGGATGGATCCCCTAGAAATGTGGAGATCCGCGGAGAGTGGGGATTGATTTGAATGGATTCTCGCGCTCCTGGAACATACCTCCATTTAATGCTGACAACTGCTCCTTTAGCTCTGGCTTTGTGATGCATGTTTCCATAGTAAAAGACAACACTAAAGGGGATCATTAGTGCTCGCACTCGTGATAGCAAGTGCGGTCTCAAAATAAGCAATGATATCACAGTAGTCAAGATCAATATGCAGGTGGAAATGCTTAAGATTGTCACCGACAAAAAATGTAACTTGTTCTCCTCCAGCCCGCAAAATCAACTTGCCATCATTCACATCTATCAATGCCTTGACGATGACAAGATAGGTTCTACCATAAATCAAAGGCATATCTACATCCTCATTTATATCAAGTATCACAAAATCAACATGATATATGAATGGCCCGAATGTGACAAGCAAATCTTTTGCACTACACCTAGGATGCACAATAGAATGATTAGCCAGTTGTATGCTCATCCTAGGAGTACTGGGTTCACCATTTCCTAGCTTATCAAACAATTTATATGGCATTACGTTTATGCTAGCACCTAAATCCGCCAAGGATTTTCCTACATGCATGCTACCAGTAATGTAAGTGATAGTAAAAATCCATGGGTTTGTTCTCTTCTCTGGTAGCTTGTTCTACAGGATGGAAAAACATTGTTCATTCTACATCAGTGTCCATAACTCCCCAAGCTTCCTTTTGTTGGTGAGAAGGTCCTTTATGAATTTGGCATACTTGGGCATCTTCGATAGTGCCTCCATGAATGGCATGCTAATATTAACCTGCTTCAACATTGTCATGAAGTTGACAAACTCGGTCTTCAGATTGTACTTTTGCATGCGATTTCGGATGAGAAGCTAAGAAACATACTCATTCACCGCTGGTTGTGGTTTATGAGCAGGCGTCCCATCTTCCTTCTGTAAGCTTTCTTCAGTATCTTGAGCTTTTGGTGCTGGATGTTCAACCTCTGAAATATCTAGAACAAGGATATCAACAGTCTTTTTTCACCTCCGGAGGGAGATGGCCTTGTAGCGTGTTGGTGGATCTCTAGGATTTGGGATAGTGTTGGCCGGCAGAGTGCCTAGAGGCATGTTGGCCACAAATTGGGCCACATTCCCAATATGAGTTTAGAGATCCAGAATATAATGTGCCGGTGTCAATAGTCAGCTTTGAGATTCGTGAACTTCCTCACAGCCAGTTTCATTAAATGGTCCATGTTATTGAACTTCCTGGCACTAGTGCTTGGAAAACTGTTCACCACGTCATGCATCTTGGACATCTTGTATTGCTGAGGTTGAGTTGGTGCTCCTATTCCCTAAGTCTGGTACTGAGGCTGGTTCTGAAAGGATTGGCCCTAGTGGCTGATAGGGTTGCCTCTGGTGATACCCTGGATGGCAGTCTGAATTGTGGGAAAATGTTGACCCTAGCAATAGGATAGTCGGATATCCTTAACGCATGGATACTCCAAGACCCACTTATGAGGGAGGGATGCACTGTTCTTTAACATCCTTTCCCTGCTCGCGTTATACGTTCAGACCTTGTTTTGGTGCAATCACCTCTGGGAAAGCGTGCAAGATAAATTTTTGCCTACATCTAGCCAAGGAAAAACGTCATCGCATTTAGCAGCCCGGTCTGCCAATTTTGGGTACGGTCCGCCATTATTGGCGGGACCAGTAAAACACCCACTGACCAAAATATGGGTTCCTGGACGATCTCCTCATTTTATTTAAAATTCCTTTCTCCATACGAATCTGAAAGGGAAGGCTTGTTCCCTTAGGAAAAGGATGAGGCATTCCATTTCCTTAACCCTTGTGGAAAAGGTTCACACCACTATGAAAAGGCTCATCCTCTATCCCCTTTACACACTTTGTTGAGTTGGAAATCAAAAGAAGGGATTAAGGCGTCATGGGAAAACAAGGAATTCCAAATTAGCACGAAAAAATTGGCGGCCTGTATGGAGGAAATTCGCAGAACAAGACGAAATCATATTTTCCAAAGTCCTGCTGCAAAATCCTCGCTAGGTTAGGTGGTGAGGATGTTGTTCTGCCCCTACTGGCAGAAATCTCGAAAATGAGAAAACCTGTTCAAGCATTAAGAAGTCTTATCATCAATGAAAACCCCTCTGATTTTGAGACACAAGTGCTTACCTCCATAGATGTACCACCAGAATCATAAAATCACCATTAAAAGTGCTCGATCCGGGGAGATTAAGACACATGACCCTCTATCCCCTTAAAATTAAGACACATGAACAACAAAATTTCACAGAAGCCAGATGGAGAATATAAAGAGTTTGAGGACTAAAAATGAATTATACTAAAACAACACACTTTATTCAAAGTTAAATGAACTTATTCTTTGGCACCAAAGTTCTTCCTGGCCATGGTTCAATCTTCAGCTACAACAAGCTCCTGGCCAAGAATTAACAATAACCTTTACAAATTATCAAATATCAATTAGGGCATCACACCATCCATCAATTGCTAGCTGTAGTAGGGATTAGGCGTAGTAGCTATTTACTTGAGATGGAGAGCCAGAGAGTTTCGTCAAATCTATGTGTTGAAGTGCTATGGGAAGTTTCCAGTCAAAATGGAAGAGCAAATTGGCCAGGCCCAGTTGAAAAATAGCTATTCCGAATAACATGCCAGGGCAAATCCTTCTTCCAGCACCAAATGGTATATACTCGAAGTGTGCTCCTTTATGGTCAATAGAAGAGTTCAAGAACCTCTCTGGGCAAAACTTTTCGGGATCAGTCCAATAACTAGGATCTCTTCCCATTGCCCACGCATTGACTATCACTCTAGTTTTAGCAGGGATAACAAAACCATTGATCTTAATGGTCTCTCTCGTTTCTCTTGGACTAAGTAAGTTAACTCATGGAGCCGGTCTTCACAAACGTTTCTCTTATCACCAAAGACTTGCCTCACTTCTTCTTGTACTAGTCGTAAAACATTTGGGTTTTGAATCAACTCAGACATAGTCCACTCCATTGTGGTTGCTGATGTTTCCATACCACCAATGAAAACATCCCGGTATGATCACAACAATATCAATTAGCAATATGGTAACAATGATAAAATAATAATGTATCTAGCTAGATAACATGTATGAATGTGTTAATACTAACAAGAATGACGACTTTGATGTCGTCAGTTGTTAAGGGAAGTTGGAGGCCCCCAGTCCGTTGAAGATTGAGTAGAATGTCCACAATGTCTTCTATTTCATCATCATCATCATCATCATCATCATCATCACTATGCTGTTGTCGTTTTCTATCTGCTTTGACTCTGTGTTTTTCGATGATCTTCTCAAGCAATGAATCTGCTCTCTGATGAAGTGTCATGAGCTTGGCTTGATAGCCTGTAATGACGGGGATGAATTTGAGGGAAGGAAAAAGATCTGACATCCAAAACCTCCAAGTGCCTCCGCAATCCGCTCAACAACCGCCATGAATGTTTCCTTATCCGTCTTCTGCAGCTTGCCAAAAGCTGACCTACAAGTACGAAAGGGAGGGGCAGAAAGAAAGAAAATCTCAAATGTCGGATATATTAAGAATGATGGATGGGAGTGTGCCGAAGCATCCAATCAATTTTGAAAGAAATATTCTATAAATAAGATGTGATCTAGTTTTTTACTATATAATAAAATTAAAATTTTGTGACACCTTATAATTTAAAATTATATTATAAAATATAAATTGTCGTGTTATATGAGTTTTTATTATAAGAACTTTCTTTTATAAGCGTAGTGTTATATGAGTTAAATTGGCATTGAATGTTTAAAGACTAAGGTTAAAAACATTTAAAGAATGTTTTTAACAATGATTTCATATTCGAATAAGAGTGTGAACCTATATGATGTGCATTTCACACTTTACTGATTTTATCAATATAAAATCGTTAAAATTGTTAACAACCGTTAATAAATCAATGGCCCGTAACATTAATTTTATAAGTAACACATAATTACATGAAAAAATAAAAATTCTAATCATATACATTCTTTACAGGAAGAGACAGTAGATAATTAAATTGGAAAATTTAATTTGTCCCGTGTATATGGGAAGTAGAATTTGATAGTGAATCAAATTGGGAGAAATCAAAAATTTTATTTTTGTGAATTAAATTGGGGCATTAATTTGATATGAAAAGTGAATTAAATTGGGGCCATTACTTTGGGGATCGAATATGGTGACAATACTAATTATGTTGTTAGGGTAACAACATTAGTAATCCAACCAATAGGATATTAGACTTGTGATTACTTTTTTATTAGTTAGGTTGACTAAATTTAGATATAAAGGATTTACAAAGGGATGTAATAATCTTTTGAATATGATATTTGAACTAACAAAACTAGTGGTAAAAAACAAAAATAAAATATTTTTTAAAGTTTTCCATTTTTCGGTCGTCGAAATTCGGCTAATGTGGCAGGAATATGCTCACTGTCGTCAGAATCCCTTCGCCATGATCGAAATACACTCAATGTCGTCAAAATATACTGTATGCCACCGAAATCTGGTCACTATGGCCGACATATGCTCACCGTCGCTGAATTTGGGTCCTTGTAGCGGGAAATGCTTACCAGCACCGGAATCCGGTCAATGGATGCGGAGTTCGGTCACCAGACGCAGAGTGTGGTCACAGGTCGTCGAACTTTGTTCAACGACCATCGGGTATTGTGGTATGAATTTTTGATTTGTGGTTTGATTTCTCAGGTTTCTTGTTTGCCTTTTGTGGTTTGCATTATCGTATTTTTGTTCTAGATTCAGAGACTTGTAGTGTGGTTTAAAAATATTTTTGGTATGTTTTTGTGGGGATCCTGGTCTGTTTGAAGAGATTTGTGATCTTTATAAGGAGGTATTTAGCGTGCTTTATAAATATTTATGATATTATTTATGGTGTTTATCGTCTGCTTCATGAGATGTGTACTAAACTTGTATATTTAATAAGCTCATCACTATGTTTGAAATATTTGAGAATCAGTCTATTGTGGGTTCTTTGTTAAATTTTGTATTGAACAATAGAAATGACAAATGATATTAGATATTTGTGAAAAACAATAAACTACAAAAATATAATATAATTTCAATTATCAGAATGATTAAAAGACCGGGACTCAATTATAAAGTGATAAATAGCCATGAGTTATTCCCCAAACTCAACTTTACGCATATTTTCTTACTTAACTTTAATCCCTTCCTCGATCACCCTGGCCTACTCAATAGCTAGTTAGTGGGACATGCATGGTTGTTAAGTCAATGACATGTCGGCCTGTATAACTAGGTTCAACTAGTATTGGACATAAACGAACTAGAATATGCCTGGTATGAGGTGATCGTCAATACTAATCAAAATCAGTCAATAGTGAAAAAATTAGCATAACTAATATATGATCACTGAACATAATGACATCGTTTTGGTGAATTTAATTAAGAAAAATATGTGTATTTGAATATGATGATTTTAGTTTTATCTAATTATGAATGTTGATCTTATTTGGGTATTCAGTATAAATGTTTGAATCTTTATATTAAATATTATATTTAAATATAAAAATATGTAATTTTGTTTGTAATGTTGTTATTTAATATGGATGTAGATTATATAGGAATTATAGTCAGATATGTTAGATACGTGTAGTGTTGCTAGTTTCTCAGTTTTCATATATAATTCGTTAAAACTTACATGTACCATTTGTACCTTGATCGGACAATATCACTTGCTAAACCGCTTAACGACATAAACTTATTTGACTGGGTCCATATAACCTTTTATTATTGGTCAATAATACATATAAGGTGCTATGTTAATCTTGAACAAATTTCCATTTTTTAATATATTATTTGAAAATTAATCTAGCGAGTAGGGATGGAAATCAAACCCATGACCGCGGGTACCCGACCGCCTCCGACCCAGTCAACGCGGGGAATCTCCGCTTTGACCGGGTGTGGGGCGGGTATGGGTAAAACCCGCAAAAAGTTTGATGGGTATGGGGCGGGTATGGTTTTAGCCTCCCCCGCCCCATACCCATACCCGACCCACCTAGAGAATATATTCACATAGAAAAAAATATGTGGATCAAATTGTAATCTATCAATGAAGATGAGGATAACTCGAGAAAATAAATAGCAGAAATGCAATTGAGTGGCCACCCTAATCAAAACATAATTCATTTCCCTCAATTCTCTTTTCACTCTTTCACTTCCACCCTTGTCAACCAGATTATGTTAGTTAATTATTACTTAGTAAATGTATCAAAGTTAAAGCATAATAATTTGAAAATATTGTACTCTATATTATGTATTAATGGATGTTTTAGGATCATATTCTTTGAATCGTATTAAGAAAATGACCGTGTTTTGTTGACTTCATGATATAATAGGTTCGTTAAGATTATAATTAAACATTTTCTTGTAAGTTTTAGGTATAATAATATTGGATGTACGGGGACGGGTATTACCCATGGGTACCCGAAACCCACGGGTATGGGGATGAGTTTGCAAAACATTCCCCCGCATGGGTATGGGGCGGGTATGAGTTTGGGTATTCGAAGATGGGGATGGAGATGGTTTAGGTAAATCCGCCCCAAACCCGCCCCATTGCCATCCCTACTAGCGAGGATATAATTGATGCTATATAATGGGGAGCTGAGAGGGGAGCAGATCCGGTGAGTAACATTGTGGTGAGCAACCCCATGCATACCCAATAAGAATCTGCCACATCAGCGCCTCCTTCCCTCTCTTGGAAAAATCATTAATTTTCTTTCCCTTAATCTTTAACGGACGATTTCTCACTCGTTTTAACTCGGAATTTAATTTTTTTGAACAGTTAGATCAGATTAATTGTGTTCTTCAAAATGATATCCACTTTAATATTTTTTGGAACAAAAAAAATTGGCCAGTTATTACGAGTCTATACCTTATGGTATAGTCAATAAAACCGAGAATAATAAAGGCTATACAGTACTACGAGAACGGAAATTATAAACGGATTTAGTAGATTAAACGGATATTTGGAAAAGATGCATCAAAGTACCTGTAAGTGACGTTGCTGGTGAATGAAAATAGCATCTCTCAGAGGTCGACGCCCTCCTCATCCCTCGCAGTTGCAGCGACACGAATGCGGGAGATAAGAGTGGAGACCTCCTCCTCCCTGATAGAGCGGAACGAAGCAACGCGCCTTGCGCTGAGCAGCTCCACGATGCAGATCTTTCGCATCTACCGCCAGTACTCCCCGTAAGGCGCGAAACCGATGTTTTTGCAGCCATAGAAGATGATTCTCGCGACCAAGATACTGGGCCTGGAAGCGAAGACTAAATCTTGGGTTTTCAGCACCAGTTTGGCTGCTTCTGGGGAGGAGATGACCACGTTGGTCACCTCCCCGATCTGCAGGCTCATCACTGGCCCGTATCTCTAGGCCAATTCCCTTAGCCGGATGTGGAGAGCTGGAACTCGACTGAACATCAGCTGATGGAGGTTCCCAATGATGGGCAGCTTCTATGGTCCTGGCACAGCTGCACTTCTCTTAGCCGACAATCCTCGGCTGCCCCAAATGAAGGATGTTAAAAATAGTACAAGTGGGATAAGAATAAGAAGCAGCGTCGGCGAGACGGAGGAGATGTGTATCATCATCATCCTCCAGTATTGCTCCATTAGTTATATTCTCTCCTTTCCCTTTCTTTCTTTCCTAAGGGGTTTCTCTCTGTTTTTACTTGGTGTGTGTCTATTAATCTATCCCTCTCGGCTCAAGATAGGGTGCATAACCATGGGTTATGTACCCATCAATAACCAAATCTGGACACTTCATTTAGAAAATCCAGATTTAAGGATGGAGAATTAAAGGCTATTTTTATTTTCACTAGCTTTCTTAATTGACTCATATCTTTTTCGTTTTAACTCGGATTTTAATTTTTTTTTTTTTTTGCACAGATGGAACGAGTTTACCGTGCTCTATAAAATGAGATCAATTTTCAATTATTTTTTAGGAAAAAAAATTCTGGCCTCTCGGTACCAACTGCATACCATATGGTATCTTCTTCGTTTTTAATTCGTTTTTGAAAACGTTTGCACAGCAGGGATGAGTTCATCATGATCTACTGGATCTACAAATTTCTGGGTGAACAAATTACAGGACCAAAAAATACCACACAATACCATACAATACCACCCTGGTACGGGGTGGTATTGTATGGTATCTTCTTCGTTTTTAATTCGTTTTTGAAAACGTTTGCACAGAAGGTACGAGTTCATCATGATCTATTGGATCTACAAATTTCTGGGTGAACAAATTACAGGACCAAAAAATATCACACAATACCATACAATACCACCCTGGTACGGGGTGGTATTGTGTGGTATACAATGTTAAAAGTCGTAAATTACAATTAATATACTTATACTATCATGTATTCAACCATCCTACAGTATTGGTTTGTTCATACCACCATGGTACGTTTTTCAAAACATAGGTATGCTTTTATTTCAATACCAGTCAATACCATATGGTATAGGCTGGTAAAAAATGGCTCAATTTTTTTTGTTCGAAAAATATATTAAAGTGGATATCATTTTGAAGAGCACAATTAATCTGATCTAACTGTGCAGAAAAAATTAAATTTCGACTTAAAATGAACGAGAAATCGTCCGTCAAAGATTAAAGAGGGAAAAATTAAACGCTTTCCATGAGAGAGAGGATGCTGATGTCATGCTGATGTGGACGGGTTACTCATGGTTACTCACCATAAGGTTACTGACCTGATCCATTCTCATCTCTCTATTCTTCTTGGTGTATTCCAAATCGAAAATGGTTGTTCTCTTTCTTGTTTTTTATAGGAAGACTAGCGCAGGGCCCGGCCCGTTGGGCGGGTAAACTAAACATAAGCGGCGCATTTGACAAACGTTGGAACATGAAATCAAATGAAAATGAATTCATTTTTTGGTCAATTTAAGTTACAAATTGTTCAGTTAAAATGTTTATACGAATATATGAAATTTAATAAGTGGGCTGTAATATTAGGAACATAATAATAAGCATCACATTGGTAAAAACCACAGGAGATAGATGGAGCAGCCAAGTAATAATCTATTCGGGGAAAGAGTTCAACATTCATAATTGGAACAACTATACAGAAATTATCTTTGAATTAAAGCACTGTTCAAGTACGTCACCCCCTCTACCAGAATAATTTGCGAAGAACCAAATCAAACTCATTGGTCTGGCCGTTGAAATCTCCAAATTCAATCATAAACTTCAATATATTCCCCCTGAGAGCAGCTAGGAGAGTCCTGAAGTCATTGGTCCATTCCTTGTCTGTAGCCTCAATGATACGGCTTGCTATCCACCGGAACTTGGTAGTCATAAACATGATAGAAGCCTCATGAGGACCAGTAGCAACAGTCAGCCTCACCATAAACTTGAGATGCACACTTGACCAAGAAACAGTAACATCCTTGACTGTTGCAGTAGTAAGGTACAAATTCCCCTGCAATATGAACCACATGAAAGCTTACATTTGGGAATAGTAAGAGGATAATTGATATTTTATTGGTCAAGTTAGAGCATTAGAGACGCAGTTACATCCAACCATGGTGTCCAGGCCAACAATTATGATATTCAATGGGAGCAAAATATGAATGTTGAAATTTTTGTAGGATTTGACCGAGTGTACATATAAACTACCTGGTTGGTGAAATCAGTCTTATATAGATTCAGTTCCGAAATGGAACATATCTCACTTAACCATATAGCATCCTCCAACGTGTAGTCAATGGCCAGCGGGACATTTTCTATACTGTAAATAAAAAAAAATAATTCCAAAACATGAGAATAAGAATAATAAAAGAATTGATTCTATTGATCAAAGGTTAAACACTTACTTATCAAGCAGGGGGTGCACGTGAGGATAGTGCAAGTTGCAATATACTTTCGTTGCATTTGAGCCCACACAATATTCTTCCCCTAAAACCATAACATCTAAAAACTCAATTACCACTAATCTAAACTAAAAGAACAGGTTCGAAAAATAGAATGAAAACCATGTAAGAGACCTGCGAAGTGGCGAACAACAACGGAAGTGAAGACAACTACTGTTCCTGGTAAAGGATCATTAGGTGTCACAGCTTGAAATTCGTCAATTAGACCATCCCATAAGACGACATCAACTATAGGTCCCCTAAAATTTTTTTTAAAAAAAGATGCATGAATGGGCTGCATACGGTAAGCACACTTCAAATGTAACCTGTACAAAAAAACAACCAACTGACTCAATCAATCTAAGCTGCACTCCCTTTCGCCGTAAAATAGCAGCATCTTCGAATAGGACCTCTTCTTGTTCAACAGTTTCAACCTCCCCAATTAAATCTGAGCCCAAACATATCGTTAGGCACACAATATGAAAACCAAACCGGCCAAATAAAGCTTTCTTTGAATTAGAAATACCAGACAAATATTCATGATTATGGACAGCAAAGGGAAGATCATTAGCAGCCAAAAACCGAAAGCTATATGTTGGTATGTCGGCTGCATTCTGGAGTTCCTCAATCACCGTATCATTATGAAAGCGGATTCGGATAGTTGCAGGAGCAACTCTATACGTATCATCATATTCTTGGACCAAAAAGTTGCTCAAGAAATAGATCCTTCCCACGTGAAGAAGAGGAGCAAACAACTGAACATTAAGAATATCAACCAAGGCCTGCATCTCTGTTCCCTAAAAGTCACGGTAAAAAATCTTTGAGTATTTTTAGAATTGAATAGCGTACTTCCCACTCATGTAACGAATAGAAGGCTTATAAAATCAAAGTACCTGGTTGTCGAGAAACAACATGTGGATTTGGTTAAGCGTTACACCATCAGGCCTCATTGTATGCCATAAACGCAGGAGCCTGACGCGAACAGCCTGGTCATTGTCATGGAGGTTCAATTGGGCTAAATTGCGGAGAGCCATCACTGATACGGCACGCTGGAAAAGAGTCAATATTTTGGATGGCAGCAAACCTTTTCACGTGCTGGAAATGTTCTTTATATAGACTTGCAGGGTAGGAAGTTGGTTTAACCTTGAGAATAGGTGGCATAGTGGAAGAACGTGGTGATCATGGCAGTTAATTACTTATTATTTGTATTTATAATATATTTTAATAGGAAAATGACAGGCCATATTGGCAAGCGAAAGTAGCAGTACATAGTAAGCATCGGCTTAGGAACTATTAACATTTTTTACCCAAAGACTTGTCTGGATTCTGACTAATGGTGTGAATGGTCTAATGCAGGGGTTGGTCGAATCATAAGTCTGGTTCTGCACATAGCAACCTTGATCTCAGCATGATGTGAACATGGAAGCAGCCAATGATCCTTTCATTGATGCTAATTACCTGGTCAGAGTTGGATTAGTAATTATTAACATTTCTTTTCCTTATACTCCAAAATGAAATGGATCTTTGGTGATGTCCAAGTTGTTTAACTGTACTGGATTGAACTCTGAAATGTCATTCAATATGTTTCATTTGAAATTTGATGATGAATTTGCTGGTTTAAGAGAGTGCGGGATAAAGGGGCCCATTGTATGAGCATGTAATGGATGCTGAGATGAAAACATAGGATAGGAAAACCATGTAAGAAAGGCATGATGAAAATAAAGATGTGTGTAATTCATTATTTGTCAAAGGATGTGATAAAGCATTTCAATTTGCCAAATATTGATCGTTCACATATGCGGGTTGGAATTCAGTAGAGTTGAAGAATTTGACGTTGTATTTTTTGATATCACTTGTCTCGACCAACTCCTCAACTACTGTTTTTGCATCCAAGAGAATAGGTACGTATATTGAAATCCATCAATCCTTGTATGGCACAACGACCCATTGTCACTGTGCAACACAACAAACGGGAACAAAGGAAAACCAGTAAACAGTTTCGACAAACACCCAGCAGTCTAGCAACAAAAGGAAATTGAACTGTTCTTCTACAGAATCAAAGTGGAACTACTAATAGGGTATTGGTTACATAACATTCAACCCCTCAGATATCACTCTGGGTGCATCTTTCGTTTTAGTTTATTATCAGGTGTGATATCAACAGAAACGCCTTTGTCTGCCTCTTGATGTGCTGGATCTGGGATGGAAGGTTGCGATGAAGTTTGGGAGGACTCAACTCCACTGGTAATTGATGAACATGATGCATCTTTGTGAAGAACAGAAGCTGGAGACTGAAATTAAAAAAATGGTGGCAAGTAGAAACAATTAATAGTAGGACTTTAAGAGGATTCAATGAAAGCTATTATTAATCAAGTACGAATCAGGTCATGCAAACATATGTCATAGTCATTGTACACAAAACAGTATAGTAGAGTTATAAGTCTGGAAGATCTAATGAGTAGCTCACCTGTTCTGTGGGTTCCAAGACTTTTAAGACGGTGAAATCAGCTTGTGAATCACTGTAGAGATTTAGCTTGAACTTGACATGGAATAGTTTGGTCTAACCAACTATTTGGAGTAGATCTGGAGGGGGTACCTCATTGTTCTGACCCGTCCTATTGAAAAGATCATTACCACTGACACCAAAGAAGCGTTTTGCTTCATACTCAAAGATGATAAAGGTAGCTGGCACAGAACTGCTTTCAACATCAAGCTGTATACGATATCTGGAAAGGCACGAAATGGAAATTCAGCATATTCAATGAAGTTTATAATTCAAGGATCTGATGGAATTTATTTTGGAACTCAATGATATGGTATTTACTTGGCAGCTCTTGTTGGTGTTGGCTTGTTGCATTTGACACAGTAGTATTCTCCATGTCTTTCTATGGGTTTAAGGACACAGGTTGGACAGCCCATATAACACCAAAATGGCTTGATTCCTACGACTTTGCATTCAACAGCATACACACATTCCTAGTTGTAGTCGAAGTGAATTAATATTGGCGTATAGATTAGAGAAAACACCATAATGTAAAATTAGAGAAAACACCATAATCTAACCTCATTATCAGGGTCCAATTGAAGTTCCAGCAATTCCGATAGAGTAATATTAGGGATGAAGGGGGGTGGGGGTAATTCAACAAACACGGGCTGCTGTGGTTGCACATTCCTTTTTCAAAAGAAATAAATATGTTAAGTTGACATTGGTTCAACAGTATGGTTCGGATATTCATTAGCAATTAAAAGAGAATACCTGGTTGTGAAAGCCTTTACTTCTGGGATATCAAGGTTGGGATACAACACTGTTGAACCCGAAGAATTAAAGCAAAGTTCACCTGAAAAATTAAATTGATGTTGTTCCTACTGATCAGTCACCCATATATCTCAAATGCAGCACAGTGTAAACAGATGTTGTACCTAGGAAGGGTTTGACAGAAACCGCAGTTACAACCAGTATGACTTGTTCATCATCACCAGGCTTGATCAACTTATCAAAGTCAGCTACAACTCTTCCCCAGATAATAACTTTGACAACATCCCCTCTGTAAAACAATGTAGGCTTAGGTTTGACAACATAAGTAATGCCTAAGCATGGGTGTAAATGAACACCATACAATGAAGTGACCCATATAAATGTATATGATCAGAGGCTGAATAACCCATGATCTAAATTTATACTGCCTAGAAAAAGTAGAACGTTGTACCCAAGCAATCATCAATCATTCATGTAACTCCAACTTCATATTGATACAACCGTAGCAAAGATAGCTCTTACTCAATTAGTTTCAGTTGAAGCTCCTTCCGAATGGTTTTCCTAGCAAGATTCTTTGTCTTGATGGCATCCGAGTGCTGTACTACTTGCCCAACAACATCTATACAAAGAAAAGTTAATGGAAAGTAGACGCAAGCAAGCACAGAAAGGAAATCAACCACTGAATAAATTACGGTTGTAACCTGAGAGGACGACCACATCATTCAATTTAGATGCCATCTCACTTGCTTTGAGGAATTTGAATTTGAAGGCAGGAATGGAAGGGACATCGGGAACATGCTCAACAGTAGTCTTCCGGGAGAACGACATGATATATGTATTGGCAATGGGGCGATATTTCAGTTGGGTCGTGTGAAGCTCAAAGTTTTTTATGGTGTAGACCTGCTGTTCCTTCAGCAATCGTTTGAAGTGTTCTTGCAGCACTGGTGGGATATGCACCCATATATCATTCCCCTGGGGATTTATAGAGACGAAATAAGACAGTCTGGATGATATGTGACGCAACTAAAGTTAATGTTAAACACAGCCGTACCTTGGCATCCATCAAGATGAGATCGAAATGCAGGACTTTATCAGTCGTCACATTAACACCCAACCATGCCCTGGAGACGCGACAATGCCCTGACCAGAGTTGTTTCTCGGACTCAAGATCTCGGATGCCATTGAATGCCATGGTGTAGCTACCAAAGTACATAAGCACTTAGTTATACTGTAGGAATAGGAGGTTGGTTTGATGGAGGAATGAAGTGGGGAAAAAATTCTGTGAAGAAGAAGTTACCTGGCGGGATTTAGCAAGCGTCAACTGAAATATAAAATGAGCCGAGAGATTTAGAGAAGGTATATATATGTGGATTCCAGTTGGGGCAGTTACCAATTGCCCCACGTTGGCAAGCAACAGCAACATCTTCGGAAGGTAACTGCTACACCAACGTGAACTGCTTATTCAAAGGGTGTAGAGCTAGAGATGGAAATAGGGGGGAACATTCAAATATGTCAGTTATAAACCAATGTAAATTTCCCAAGGACCGACAACGCGCCAAAACAGAGCCAGTATAACTTACCGTCCATGTTGAATGAGTACCTGGGATTGAAAAGCAGCTCGGTTCCTTTTATTCCCCGCTGCCGCCGCAAAGAGGGCCAAAGTCGGAGCTGAGGCTTTGACTGCGTGACGTCTGATTCCAGGTGGAAACCATCTTCCAACCTGCACCCGGTTGAATTGAATTGCAATGTTCGGGGCGGATGTAGTCTGGGCAATTGGTTGCTTCTTCCAATTAGGGATATGGGGAGATGGATATTTGGGGCAGGTGTTCTGCATGGGGAAGACCGGTTAGCCAGCGCCATCCTCAGATAAGCGTTCGCTGCCGACGGGGATCCGAGACTGTGGTCGCAATTCACTCGCCGGTGAAAGGCGATGGTAGCGCCAAGAATTGTTTGTTGTACTCTAGCCTCTAGGGTTGGAGCTCGATTCCAATGCTGCTAGGAAGCCGCCCAAAAAACCAAAAAAACCATGTGGGCCGAAACCTCCTCCACTGTTAATTAGGGGAAACGACATTCACATATGAGATCTTGTTGTGGGCTATAGATGGACCGTCATGTGTAACAGGCCCATGTGAAATATCTTTTTCGCTTGGTTATTTAGAATGGGTCCATTTATATATCTATCTACCTTAGAAAAGTATAAAGACAAAAGCACATATCCTAAACTGAACTTTTCCCTTTACACTGGCGGCAATAAAAGTTGGGAGAGTGAAATGGGCTTTGCCACATTTCTGCCAATTCATTTACCATTTGTTTTTTATTGATCAATTAAACTATAATAACAGAAAATTCTCTTTCGTTAATTTACATTTAACACACGGGAGGATTTAATTGGGATGGTGCAATACATCCATCCCAATGACGTTTTTCTCAGAGTAAAGGGTTTCTGGAACTCAAGCGATCAATATGGTGCACTTGTGCTTGAATGGTGAGTATTCCTGCAAGTGAAATATACAGATCAAATTATTATGATTTTGTAAGACCTTCAAAGTTGATTTAATGTACTACCAAATGAGTCGCAGGACTATGTTGCTTAAGACGATCCCTTTCAGCAGCGGTTTGTTGGTTGGGAGGAGGAGTTGAAATTAGGTGTGTCATTTTCTCATAAATGTGAATCAATTGACAATGCATCGCTAGGGTTGGCAGATTGATAAAATAAATGAATACCATTTTGAAGTAGTGAATTTTTTAGCCAGTAAATCACTCGTATCATCGAGTAAAAAAAAAAAGAAACAAAAAAAAAGAAACAATTAGCTTTCCAATTGGGTTGGGTTTGGTTAAAACCCAAAAAACCCAAACCAAATGGACAGTCATAGCGACGTTTGGATCAAACAAATATAAAAACCAAAATAAAAAAAAACAATTAAAACCTCCCACCCACCCGAAGACGGTTTAACTCCCTTCTTCCTTTCCCTCCTCCATCGCTCTCACCTACCCTCCAGTCCCTCCACAGAAACCTGACCATCCACATCCCCAACCCGCCATCTTCTGCTTCTCCTGCGTCCCGCTCCCTCCGCAAACCCCGACCCTCCCACTACGCTCGCTCATTCTCCCTCGTCGAACAACCCTACCGTCGAATCACCACTCGCGCGGACTCCAACAACGGCACCGAGGCACAACGTCACTATTCACTCGCCGGCGAGAAGACCAACAGTCCAACCAAGCCATTGCATGCACTCATGATCCAGCCCTCCCTGACTGACCGATATTAGTACCATCTCTACATCTCCAGGAGGTAAGTTCTAAAGTCTTACCGCGTAAAGACCCAGCCGAAGACGTTTCAACTCCCTTCCTCCCAGACGCCTTCTTCTGCTCTGCTCACTCTCCGGCCAACAAAGCAACTGGAAACCCATTCCAGTGCATGCACTCATTTTCCAGGCCTTCTCTCTGCCTGATCGACGTTAGCCCTATCTCAGCATCTCTAAAAGGTAATTTCTAAAACCCTACCTCGGCAAAATCTCCCCTTTCCTCTCATCAAGAACTTCAACCAATTTTTCCAGCCCACTCATCAATTACATTCGCTTGCTGGCCTTCAAATTAGGTTTCTCCAGATCTACTACAATCTTATCATCCAGATTTTTTTTTTTTTAGTTCGATACTCCAAGGAAACTTTGTATGTTTGTATTGACACATTCATGTATTGGGTTGCTATTGTTTGTGTATATTCGGGTTTACATAATTAGTTGATTAGTTTTATAGCTCTAACATTTGTTGGTAGAGTTGCTAATATTGCTACTAATCTAAATTATAGATTTTTTTCCATGGGAGACTTCGTTTCAAATCTGCAATATGAAGTTGCCGCAAGAATTTGGGACAATGTAGAAACGATAGATCTTATCCCTATGCAATTGGATGTTGCTAATCAGGTGAATCAGATAACATGTATTTTATCTATCCGGAATCTATATTTTATCTAAAGAATTTGCATCTAATTTGGTCTTATTTTGAACTCCTTATGTTTTGGCTTGTACCAGGGCAAGTCATACATTTTCAATGGCTGGGTCACAGAATTGAGGAGATCTTGGCATGCCGCATCCAGCATATACTTGCTTCACTTGACAATTGAAGATTTCATCACCGATATTGAGGTCGTATTTCCATCAGCTTACTTACGGCGAGTCATGTCTGCTGTTGTTGGTCCTGATGAGATGGAAGATGTGGAGTACATTCCACTACTCAACATGATTGGTGAGTCGCCATATAGGGTCTTGGTCACATTCGGACCTTGGAACAACGTGGAGAATCGTCTTGATCTCTTCTTGGTTAAGTTGTTCCCGATTTTAGATGACTAAGTAGCGTAGGGTATTATTAATATAATCGGATTAATGTTAGTAATGGTCCACCTCGCTCTAATTTCGAATTATCTAACCGCGTAATGGATATGTGAACGCAAATATTTTTTGAAAGGTTATTATCCTTTTGAGGTGGTCCTTCATGTAACCATATTTTGAGCATCATATAATTTTGCTCTTTGTTTACTGTCACCTTCCTTGCTATTTGGTAATTCCTTTTAAATTATTGTACTCTAGAGTTTAGAGTTGGAACTCGCTGCCAATGCATTTAGGAAGCCGCCCAAACAAAATAAAAAAACCCCCACAGGCCCAATTTAGATAGGTGAATTTGGAATGTATCAGCCCGGCTGTGTGTAGTCATTTGCCATGGGTTTTGCCAAAACTCTGGGCCCGATTAATTCATGAGCCACATAGGAAATAAGCCCATTTTTCCAGCTAAAATATAGCATTTAAAATTTAGTCTTTAAAAAATGTTAAACTGTCATTGTATATATAATATTGGTAATAACAGAATTGTAAATTCGACAAATGTATTAATGTTTTCCTAAAATCGTCAGATCTCTTGAGTAATCTATGAGTACAAACTTTTCTTTTCATCAGTGGCTAGATACATAAGCTCAATGCATAAAAACATATAGTCCATTGCTAGGGAAATTGCCTTAACAAAAATAAATAGCCAAACATGACGCCTAACAGTTGTTCATAAAAAATAAAAACTGTAATCATAAGTTAAACCTGAATTGAAGTTCATATAAATCAATCAAATATTTCTGGGAATACTATGTTCACCATTGAAGTGCCTTCCTCTCCATTCTCATTGCCACTCAAAATCTTCAATCCTTGCCTTGTAGTAACTCTTGACAATGCAACATATAGCTGATCATGACTAAAAACTTGTCTTTGAAGACATAAACCAACATTGGCTAGTGTTTGACCCTGACTTTTGTTAATAGTCATGGCAAAACAAGAGCCACAGGGTATTGCCTTCTAATGAGGGTGAAATTAAGACTCTTGTAATGGGCTGATAATGTCAAATTATCCTGATTTTGTGCCAAAGTAAACTTTAATTTAATGTACCAACAAATGAATCGCGGAACTACGTTGATTAAGACGATCCCTTTCAGCAGCGGTTTGTTGATTGGAAGGAGGTTTTGGCGGGTTGAATATAGCTCGATGGAAGCATTTCACCAGCAGTCTTTGGGCCGACTACGTCAAGGGGGAAGAGTTTGGGCCGGATACTTCAGGGGGCAACAGCCCGGTCCGACTATATAATAAACTGGCCCGGTCCACCGGCAGAATGTGTTGGAGGTGAAACGCACAGTTTTATTTAAAGGTGAATTGCCTAAAGTGCCCTTCCGACAAACCCTCTGCGGGCTGGAAATTTGAATCCCTGCAAACTAAACACTTGTTTTGGCTTCATATATCTTATAGATTGGAGGAGGGAAGGCAACAGTTGACTTCCGGCCACTAATGAGGGAATAAGAATCACTAAACCAAATTGTTATCACTAATACTATACTCGATGGTAATGACGTATGAGATTTAGATTACAAAACGGTTCCCCATATGTAAGTGATGACCAGAAAATGACTAGCTCACATATTGGTGAATTCAACCGTAGGTAGCTATTGCATCCAGTTCCCATTAAACAAAAAGTGAAGTGGAGGACATGAAATTAGGGTTGGCAATGGGTCGGGTTTTGCCAAACCCAAACCCAAACCCATGGGGTTTATCCGTGACAAAGACCCGGGGTAAAACCCATTGGGTTTGAAAAACTCAAACCCAACCCAACCCGCTGGGTATCCGCGGGTTCATGGGTACCCACGGGTTTTTGTTGTAAAAA